CCCCGCGACCTGGTCCTTTGATGCCATGGGGCCCTGGGGACCCGGCTGCCATCCTCGGCTCCCCCGCTGCGGGGGAGGGGAGGCCGTGCCAGCCTTCGGGAGCCTGAGCAGTGGGGTGGGAACTCGGGTGTGACACTGCGCCGGAGTGCAGGGGCGGGACAAGGCCAGGACCCCCACTCCTCCCGTGCTCACAGGCCGAGAGCCCCAGGACCGGGGCAGGGTCTTGGGGCTGCCCAGGCCGGTGTAGAGAGAGGACTGAGCCCGAGGCACCGCCTCTGGGTGGGTCCCAGCCTTGCTCAAGGCCACAGGGTGCAGTGGGGGGTCCCGGCCAGAAGCCCCACCACTCCTGACCCCACACACAGGTCTCCCAAGGCCGCGGCAGGCGGTGACCACGAAGCCACCGGCACTCTGGGGACGGGGCCATCACAGACGCCAGCCCCTGCAGCCCCCCCGGCGGAACTCGGGGCGCCCAGCCCGAGTCAGCACCACGCACAGCGGGCCCTGGGCATCCACACCCATGGGCTAGTGCTGGGAACCAGGGGCCCTGGGGGGCCAGGGCAGGCCGAGGCCAGGCCCCTCACTCCGCCGCCACCTGGACAGTGCACTCCTACTCCAGCCGCAGGGCCCACCTCGTGGCCACGCCCATGGCCTGCGAGCCGCCAGCAGGGTTGCCCAGACACGTCCAGGACCTGGATGCTGCCAAGGCACTGGGGCAGCACTGCGTCCCAGGCCCCCCGCAAGGCGGGAGTGGAGTGTCTCCCACGAGCCGCTGGGCCCCCAGCCACAAAGCCCGGGAGCTCCGACTGCTGCAGAGCACCCCACCCACCCACAGTCTCCCACGGACCCCAGCCCGGCCACCCCTGCTCAGCAAGGGGGTGCGGCAGGGACACCCGCCCCCAGCCTGGCCATCTTCCTCAGGCAGCTGCGGCAATTCGGGGTGTCCAGCCGGCTGGAAGTAATGGCCACGCAGCACCCCACCCCCACGGCGGCCTCCTCCTCCCCACCCCCACACACTTGTTGCTATGGCAACTTCCCAAGGTCAGCGGCAGCCTCACTAGGCTCAGACAAAAGGCGGCAGGCGGCCACTCTGCTGGCCAAGGGTCCCGGAGCCACCGAGCCCGAGCCAGGCGCTGGGGCTGTGCGTCTGCCCAGACGCCCAGTCGAGGCCTCCTCCAGCGGAGCAGAGCAGGGGCCCTCGGCCAGGGCCTGCTCCTCCGGCCACCCGGCAGGCCTCCCCCAGCCTCGGCGGCCAGCCAGGGCCCAGGTGTCCGGTCACAGGCCCCACGGCCCTGGGAGGCGCGAGGCAGCCTGCAGGCGGGAGACAGAGGGCTGGCCAGGGCCGGCCGGGCCCCCACCTCGCCG